GGCTGGACACCCCAACACTGCCCCGACCCGCCTTGGGGCTGCTCAGGGGACAGAGGGTCCCCATGTCCACCTTTGGGGTGGGGTTGGGGGCAGCAGTTTCCGTGCCCTTGGCCCATCTGGGGAGCTGGGAGGGTTTGGAGAGGGGCCTGGTCAGAGATGTCTTGCAGGCATCCCCACTGTCACAGGCTCTGGGCCACCATGACCTTGCAAGGAGCTGGGAGGACACGGCTGTGGTGGCTCCTGAGCCCCTCCTGCCCTGTGGGTTTTTCCCCCCCCCACTCTCCCCTCACTGTAGTTCAGGCGTCAGTGGAGATTTGGGGTTGGGTTGGTAGAGGTGGCCCCAGCCCCTGTGTGCTGGCGTGGAGGCATGACCTGGCAGCACCATCCCCATCAGGAGATGTGGTCAACCCCTTCCTCCTCCTGTTCCTCCTCCCATGGCCCTGCCTGGGGCTCTGCCATGTCCCTCTGGCAGCAGCACCGCGAGCTGCTGTCCTGCACCAGCAGGGCAGGTGAGCAGGATGTGTGCCAAGGCCAGGCGTGTGCCAGGCTCCATGTCCACGCTGTCCAGTGCCCACCATCTCACTCCTGTTCTTGGCCCCCACAGGGACAAAACCCCTTTGACCTGGAGTTTGACCAGTCCAACCACCTGGAGCCCGTCTTCAACTTTGAGTGCCCGACCCGTCCCGGTGAGCTGAGGGTGCTGCCTCCCCATGGGGGGGGCTCCTTGCCCCTCCATGTTGGGCCCTTTGCACTCCCCCAGAGATGTGGGGGGGCTGCCCTGGGGGTGGCAATGCTGGGGGAGAGGGGGGTGACTCAGGCTGTTCTCCCATGCAGACATGCCTTCAAGTCAACCCATCGATATCCCTGATGCCAAGAAGAGGAACAAGAAGAAGAAGCGCTGCAGGGCCACCGACAGCTTCTCTGGCAGGTTTGAAGGTGAGTGGGGGGTTGCCCAGGACTTCCCGGGGGTCCCCCCCCACAGTGTAGGGCAGGGCTGGGGCCCTCCTGGTGTCCCTAGGCTTGGGGACAAGGCCAGGGAGAAGGGACAGGTGTGCTGCCCCATGAGCTGGTGGCTCAGGTGGCCTCTCCCTTGGCAGATGTTTACCAGCTGCAGGAGGAGGTGCTGGGAGAAGGGGCCCACGCCAGAGTCCAGTCCTGCATTAACCTCATCACCAACAAGGAGTACGCAGTGAAGGTAAAGCAGGACTGCAGACCCAGCTCCCTCCCCTCCCTGCCTCAGTTTCCCTTTCTGCCCTCCGTGTCTTGGCATCTCCCAGCCCCCCATGACCTGGCGTAGGGTGAGGTTTTCATGGCACTGAAGGGCTGGAGAGGGGCAGGAGGGCAGCAGGGCCAGGCCATGCAGGTGGAACATCATCCTCTGCCACCACCCAGCTCCAGGACCTCGGTCCAGCCCCTTGGCCACGCTCCTTTCCCTGTGAATTAGGGCAGGTGGAAAATTAAATTAATGCTTGTGACACGTCTGGGGACTCGGGACAAGTGGGGGGTGTGGTGCCAGTGGGGTGACCAGCTGCTGCTGGCCCCAGGGAGGGCTCCTTGCCCCTGTAGGCACATGGGGCACTGGTAGCACCCAGCCCACAGTGTGAGGGGCTGGGATGGGCCTCATGTGAAAGTGCAGCCACATGAAAGGGGAGCGTGGCTTCACCCATCACCTGGGGGGGCCTTTGGGTGCCTCAGTGGGGAAACTGAGGCAGTGGGGAGGGCTGAGCGGTGGTGGGGACTGGGGCCAGTGGGAGCACCCAGCTGTCTCCCCACCATGCCATGGGTGGGGACCCCCTTGCCC